AAGAGACGTAAATAACTGTTTTGTTATATATGGATCAGAAAAATCTTTGGCCCACCGTTTAACAAAACCTAAAACACCATTTGCTTTATTTACCATTGTTATTACATGGCTATTAAAATTTAATTTTGGATCCATCAAGAGGCCAAGATCAACAAATGAATCTACAGTTGATAATGAATGACCGTCAATATTATATTTTAATATCAGAGAAGAAGATCTGGAGAAGCACATATGCTTACATTTGCTTAAATTTAACTCCATACAATTTAACGTGCACCATTTAAAAAGGCTATCTAAATCGTTTTGAAGTAAACTCGCTCGTTTATCACAATTATGGGAAATGAATAATTTAACATCATCTGCGTACATTAACAATTTCGAGTAATTTATGGAATTAGGTAAATCGTTGATAAATAAAAGAAAGAGGACCGGTCCAAGGTGACTTCCTTGCGGAACACCCGATGGAACGTTAATCGTTTTGGATAAATACCCTTCAAACAAAACTAGTTGTGATCTATTTTGTAAGTAAGATGATATCCATTTGACTAAGTTTGTGTTGAAACCCATATAATTTAATTTATATATTAGGAGTTCATGGTTAACCCTATCAAAAGCTTTACTAAAATCGGTATAAATTGTATCAGTTTGTTTACGCTGAACAAATCCTTTTATTACTGTTGACGTAAATTCTATAAGATTTGTTGTAGTTGAAAGACCACTACGAAAACCATGCTGATATGGACTCAATATAGATTGAATTTTCTGTGAAATTACTGCAGTAATTAATTTTTCAAACAATTTTGGTATGGCACTTAATTTTGCAATTCCTCTATAATTTGACACATTAGTAAGACTACCAGACTTATGTAAAGGTATAATATAAGATTTTTTCCAAAAAGTAGGAAAGTGACCAAATTTAAGTGAATAATTAAACAATATAGTTAACGGAAGTGCTAATGTTTCTGAACAATATTTAAGAATTATATTAGGTATGCCATCCGGTCCTGGACATTTAATCGATTTTAAACTACGCAGACTATTGGACACATCATGACGTTGTAGAAAAGGCATACAAATTTGATCAGCCTGTGATAACTTATAAGGATACGAATCTTTAATTTGGCAAGATGTACTGGAATAGGTTGTGGCAAAAAAATCTGCGAAACATTCAGCAATATCTGTGCCTGTGACAAATTCTTTATTGTTATATTTCAATACTGAGGGCTTTGAGGAAACTTTTCGTTTTAGATTAACAAAATCATAAAAAGATTTAGGATTGGATTTAACATTATTTTTAATCTTGTCTAGGTAAAGATTATACAATCGTCGAGACTCTAAAGTATATTTAGATCTAGCAACAGAGTAATTAGTATAGTCTATTGTTAAGCCTGATTTTTTATATTTACGAAAAAGCTTATTTTTAGAATTTTTTAAACTTGATAACTCAGGGGTTATCCATGGATATTTATTTGAATTTTTAACTCTAGTGGTTGGAACACATTCCAGTTTAAATCTATTTAAAATATCATAAAATTGATCAATTACATATTCTAAATCTGTATGGCTGTTACACAGGCACACAGAAGCCCAATTTATGGAGGAAATGAGAGTATTAAGTTTTCGAAAATTAGTTTTTTTGTAATTAAGGACAGTTTTAAATGAGTCGGACTGACTTTCTTCAATTACATAACTGTGAGTCATGGAGATATATAAAGTTGGATGGTATATATCTTCAGGAGTGCATATTGGAGGAATTCTGAATATATCAAAATGCTGTGTTATATTTACAAACGCCAAATCAAGAATTTTGCCATGCGAATTTTTTACACTGTTTATTTGATAAAGATTTAAGTCACACAAACTATTTACAACATCAAATGTATACTGGGTACTGTTCATTTCAGATGGCAAAGGAATCAAAGCTTCAGAATCTGGCATTGGAAGCCATTTAATGGAGGGCATATTAAAATCACCAAGGATCAGAATGCGATCGGAATCTTTCATTTTTTCAGTAATTAAATTTATTTCTGATAAATGCTGATTATAAATGTCAAGTGAAGATGAGGGGGGAATATAAGAGCAAGTTACAAACAATTTAGATTTGCCCAATTCAATGGAAACACAAACAAATTCTATATCAAGAAAATCATTTAGATCAATTAAATTAGTGGTATATTTGGTATCAACTGCAATAAGGACGCCACCACCTTTTTTACAAACACGATCTTTTCTAAATATTTGATATTTTGAACATAATATTTCACTATTTAATATAGATGTTTTTAACCAAGTTTCGGAGAAAACCAATACATTATAAGTGAAACCAATGCTATCAGTATATAAACTGGTTAATTTTGTATTAAGCCCCCTTACATTCTGATAGCAGATAGAAAATGAGTCATTTAGTTTTTTGGCACCGAGTCTGGTCTAAGAGGCAAATGAGCTAAATTATCGGATCTCTCCACAAATTCTTTAATAAATGCCCTAGCAGGCCAAAATTCTTTTAAAATCAACTGTACAAAAATATTGTCAGGCACAACGATTTTGAAAGAAGATCTACTTTCAGAAAATGCAGATCGGAGCTTATAACATTTCAAAAAGTAATCTCCCTCAATTTTTGATTTTATATAATAGTTTATGTCATCGGCCGTTGTTTCTGGTGCAAACCTTGTTGCAAATATCATTTTCATGGCGGGGGCCATGGATAATGATCTTTGGACAGGTTGAGTTTTGCCAGTAGCAGTCTCGGGACGATCACTAGTGATAAGTGAAGGAAATGATAATTCCTGTATGTCACGAGTAGATTGTGAGGTTTTCTTAGAAACCTCACTATCAATATTCATAACATCAGGATTAATTACCCCTTTACCTATACCGCTGTTATCTACCGGAACTGGGTGTGTAATAACACTGGCATACGACTGTTCACGTCCATTCTCAGTTGTATCAGTGATATTAACTGAGACCGGTTGTGGAACAGTGTTCTCAACAGAAACTATTGCTTTGCGACTAGGCATTCCCTTAGTTGGTGCCTTTTTCGCAGCCCTTTTGCGTTTCTGTCCAGAAACTGACGGTGACGACACAAACTCATCTAACTCTTGGTATTTCTCAAACAATGTAGAGAAATTCTCAAATCGGAGTGATAATGAGGAAAAATCTTTTTTCATCGATGTCAATTCCGACTGCAAATCCTTTACAAAATTATAAAAGTCTGCAGAGAGTTTCCTGCATTGCACACAACACCAACGAACACCAACATTATTTCTAATTGTGTCTACTACTTTTGCATTAATCCTAGCACATTTTGCATGCCATTGATTAAGACAAAACCAACAGGTAACACACAATTCATCCTCAGCAACAATATTACACAATTCAAAAGGGCACGACATTTTCTTTATTTTAATTATAACTATTTCTTTTTTAATACACAAGTTCCAAATATTTTATTTAAGATTAGATCTGTAGCTGGAATTTTTGTTATTTATATTTATTCTTTTTTATTTATTTTTTTTTTTAAATGTTGGCAACTCTTTTGAGATGACAAACAAAACAAGACGATAATGTTACAACAACTAATTAGCTAATGTAACAAAAGAAAGAGGATAAAAGGAAAATGTAAAACTACACAATTTTAAAATTGATATAACTTTAAAACACAAAACAAGATTTTAAAACACTACACCAATTATCACTTTGAGTTACAAATCACTATTGAACACTTTTAAACACTTTTTTACCAGATTAATTAATTTAATAACACAATAACTATTAATTTTTTTTCAAAAGCACGGAGCACCACAATTTTTTGAACTAATCACAACAGGGTTGCCAACACACATGCTCAGAAATTCGAAAACAAAACTAATAGAATAGAAATGCAATATTTTTAAATAGCGAATGTGTCTGTTATTAAAAAATATCAAAAATAACGGTTCGTAAGAAAAACAAAAAATGGCAAAGAAAGAGAGTACTTTTAAATGTCAAATATATTTGACAAAAACACTGAAAGGGTTAATATACCCACCTTTTTAAAGTGGAGGGCAAAAAAATCGATTTTGGAACAGAGCATTCATTGTTTCGGGTCTTTTGCTCTATTCCCGAAACTGCAAGCATCTACTGGCTTTACATTTTTTCGTTATCAAAAAGGAAAAATTCGGTTTTACATTCTTACAGTTCTGGAATAGAGCATTTTTTTTTTTTGTATTTATTCAAGATTTCGTAACACAGAAGCCTTTTTAGGCCAAAAATAGCATTACAATGTAATATTACCAAATAGAAAAAATCTTAATTATACAAATACAAATATTTATTTTATGACACATTATAGACACATTATAAAATACTTTATCTTACTCTATCTTTTTTGTTTAAATTAGAGTTTAAATTTGTTGGCTCCCCAGCCGCAAATACTTAAAGATTAAATACAGAATTATAGGATAGGCGAATAAATCGAAGAAACAACAAGTGAAAAATGGAAAATTGTAAGGCAAAGGTAAGATTATGCAAAGTTACAATTCAGTAGTAGTTAAATGGTTACATAACTTTAAACGAATCACATTATTAGAATGCGAAAAATGCGAAGGTCAACAGGTAGGAAGTTCCAGCATCTTGCAACGCGAATTATAAAAGACTTCTCAAATTGAGAGTTAAAAATCCTTGGTAAAACAATCTGGGTATTTCTAGTGGAACGGGTAAATTTAAACATATCGCACAGAGGCAAGGGTATACCAGTTTTAATAATTTTGTAAAAAAAAAGCAAATTGCGAAGGTCAATATATCGTTCGAAAGGCAATCCCAGAAACTGCTTAACAAATGGGGAAACATGATCACGCCGGCGAATATTATAGACATATCGGATAATAGAGTCATTTGTCTCATGCTAACCTTAAAAGACTTTCCATGTGTGGCCGTGGACTTTATTTATTCGAAGTAAAACGTATTTTTATTAGGTAGCCGACATCGAAAACATGAGAATGCTTTAACAGCTGTTTTTGACATTGCTCACAGATAATTACGAAACGTTTAGAAGTAGCTAGCGACCAACGAAATGGTACTTTGTTAAGGATTTAATTTATTACAAAACAAGAAAATATTTACCAACAAAGAGTACCATTACAAGAATTATGTCAGCGTTATACCAAAGATTTTTGAAAGTACTTGAAAAGTGGCCGGCAGACAAATCGAAAGTAGGCAGGTAAACAAAAACCCACTAAACATGAAATTCTTATAGCGAGAGCATGTAAGAAACACACTCATTTTGTAACTAACATCCCACTTACATCCCTTTTACATTAGTATGACGCCATGGTTAAGCTAGATTGTGCGTCTTTATTGGAATACCTTGTAGTTTGTAGCAACCTGTTGGGGTATTAAAGTCCTACTCATGAATTAATTAGCATCTTAATGTTTACTTAGATATCTACACCTGTGCTTCTTTTCCTAGCAGACTCTTCTATAAATAGTCAGTCTTAGTATTTGCTTCGTCTAGAAAAGTAGTGTCGTGTGCGGTTGTCTTGATTTTTTTAAAGTACACATAGTGGAACTCCCAAGTGTCATTTGGAAACCCATTTCTTGTTGTGATAGTTGCTGAAAGTAGTTAACAATGTCTTCCACTTATGCATATCAATTAATTGGTGAAGAATATTATTTCGGCAATGGTGAAGAGTAAGTGAATTCATTGATTTTTAGTGACCGGCTGAAACCAACCAACCATAAATTTTGGAAACACGTGTTTTATCTAACGAGTGATAGTTAAATAATTACTTTATACAAGATAATGGAAATCAGTACATTATAAATATAATTTTAATATGTTTTTAAATCCTAAAATATCTTCCAAATTTGTATAATTTCCGTGCACTAAATACTGTTCTGTATTTACTTGGTACAGTTGAAAACCAGTTTTGGTGTTATATACTTTTAGGGCTTCTGTAAAACATTTTAAAACTCTACTTGCTGATATCACACAGAAACATACAGATGTGTGGTACACTAAGATGTTAGTATCACATTATTGTACATTATGGTTTTGCTCGTCTTTCATTAGTTTTTTTTATTAAATTGGTGGAATTTTAAAGTTAAGTAACTTGCGTATCACCATAACAAATCAAAAAGAATATATAATTAAATATGTGTATACCCTACGCCATACCGTGGTACATAGTATTATGTTTTAAACAGGGTACGATTTACAGCCATTGTTCCTATTTGTGATCTTCATAGAATCACATTCTGCGTGGATTTATGCATGTATGTCCTTATAAATTTGTAAACAAAGAACAGGTGGAACTTATTGTCCGATTTTGGTGGAATTTTAAATGGTTATAATCAGATATAGTCTCCATACATATGTTTCAACCGATTTGATGTTTTAGTCCTTCAAAGTTGCGATAAAATTTTACGAAACATATTGACGGCAGACGAAGAAATACTAGTGCTACGCAGTAAAAGTACATCCAGACCTGCCATAATGCTGCCCTGAGAACTGCAACTGGTTGCCTTTTCATGACAACATTGGACCATCTACATAAGGAGGCGAAGGTCCTTCATTGCGTGCTATCATCATTATATCGTGGGTAGAACTTCCTTGCCCAGGCGGGTCAGGATGAATCTACACGATCCAGATGTTCAACGCTATAAGCGAGCCTCCAGATCAAGAAGCCTATTAGACAGGTCTGAGTGGCATTCATACTGATGATTAAGTCAAGGATGTCATTAACAATTTCAGTGTGAATGCTGTCTTCAGGCACGAATTGATGAAGATGCATGATTTTTTGATTGTCCTTTAAAACCTGCCCAACTTACTCCAGAAGATCAGCCTGCGAAGGTAGCCTAATTATACCCCACACCACAAGGTTGTCAGAGTATTATGTCTTTGTGCATTTGTTTGGAAAGGAAATTAGATAGACCCATAGTTCCTTTTGATGATCTGTACAGAATCACATTCTGAGTCGATCTATGTATGTTTGTCCGTCCGTGTATTTGTGTAAACGAAGTACAGATCGCATATATTGCCGATCCAGATGAAATTTTGCACAAATCATTTGTTTGAGCCAAGGACAACTCTGGAAATTGTGTAGGGTAGGGTAGCAAAAAACGAAGCACTTATGTTTAGCTATCACAACAAAACAGCAACTATGAAATTAAGCGAAGGCTTCTCAACGTCGATATTACTTGGATACTAATATAGTACAATGGTACTTTTTGATGCATCAAATCAAAAAAAAGAAACACATGGCCAAGTTCAAGGTAGCAAATAACCGGCGTCTTAAATATTTGGTCGATTTAAATGAATAAGTCGAATGAACATAAATTCCTAACCTTTTCTACGAGCTCAATTGGGAACTATTTAACATTAAGTCCCATTGATGTGCTGGTTGGAGGATTTTTTTTGTCCTTGTTAGAATAATTTGTTTTACAAGAGTCTTCTGATTTTTTTTTGAGGAACAATAATAGATCTACTTCCCATACTACAATCTAGCTTAACCTAGTGCTCATAATCACACCATTAATTTTTTGGTCCACCATTCCTCACACAACATGTATGTAAAGAGATTTATTTAAATTGTATCAAAAAATAAACCATATTACTATTCATTCTATATTTTTTGTCAGGGATCTTGGTGAACAGATTAGAAAGCAAGTAACAAATCTCTCAAATCCTGCAGCTTTAACAGCAGAAGTAACTGCCCAAATAACTAAGCAAATTGATTCCATTGAACGTTTGGCCAATAACACATACGGCCGTAAATATAAGCGTGTCTACGACTCAACCGCAACGGGTTTGTCGGCTCAACAGTGTAATCAAGTTTTATCCTCGGAATTTTTGCAGTACCTCAACGAAGATAGCAAAAAGAAAAAGTAGTAACCAAAATACTCAACAAAATATACAACTATACTAGAAAATGTGGCCAATAAAATTGATGAAAACTTACTGTACGGTGGCCCAGGGAAGCCGAACCGCAACTGCACCTCACATACCGGTCTTGTGTCAAGAGGCTATTAATTTTTTAAATCCCTCGCAACAACAAACTTTCATAGATATGACTTTTGGAGCTGGTGGTCATACACGAGAGTTACTAAACAGTCATAAGGATATTAAGGTATATGCTTTGGATCGTGATCCAGTAGCGTATGATCTTGCAAAGTGCATGAGTAGTGAATATGAAGGACGCCTCGTACCAATGTTGGGTAAATTTTCCGATCTACCCCAGCTTTTAGACGAACACAATGTAAAACCGCACAGTGTAGATGGTATGCTATTCGATTTTGGTTGCTCCTCAATGCAATTCGATGAAGCCGAACGAGGATTTTCCATTTCAAAAAATGGTCCCCTTGATATGCGTATGGATCGTGGCCATAATAATAATGCCGAACAAATAACCGCTGCCGATGTTTTGGCCAAAGTCGAGGAAACAGATTTGGTTAAAATTTTGCGTATATATGGTGAGGAAAAGGGTGCCAAAAAGATTGCTCGAGCCATTGTTGAAGCACGCACGGCATTTCACAAGATCGAAACCACCAAACAGTTGGCTGATTTAGTAGCCTCATGCCTCAGTGACACACCCTATCGCATGGATAAAATGCAACGCCCCACCCATGTGGCCACCAAAACTTTTCAAGCTCTGCGTATTTTTGTTAATAACGAGTTAAATGAAATCAACTATGGCATGATCTTGGCCAATGAATATTTAAAACCCGAGGGACGTTTGGTTGCCATTACATTTCACTCCCTCGAAGATACCATCGTAAAACGGCATCTAAATGGCAATGTCATCGAAGGCTTGGCCAATCCAGTACCACTAAAATATTGTGGTCATGATGTTACACACGACAAGGAATTGGTGGAATCATTTGTATCATCAAATTGGAAACAATTGAACAAACATGTTTTGGTACCCAGTTACGAGGAGGTAACACGTAACAGTCGCAGTCGTTCAGCCAAACTAAGAGCTGCCATTAAATTGAAATAACTTTTTGGAATAGAAGTTTAAGTTCGAAAATATGTGGAAATGAAGAAAGCATGATAATTGTGTTGAGAGTTACATTTTGCTTAGTTTATAAGTTTAAGTTGTATATTTTAAGATGCTAGTGAAATAAATCTGTTGTTTATAAAAACATTTAGATTGTTGTGATTTTTAGATGGAATTATAAGAGAAAAAATGGAATCGTCACGAATTAAATTTTCAAAAAAATGGAGTGGTTGCTGTAGCAAAATGTGAACTTGTATTTTTTTTCAGCACAACACTGCCTAAATATATTTTTATATCCAACATTTCATTCTTTGGAGCGTATATTAATTATGTCATTCCGTTTGTAACTCCTCGTAATACTCATGATGATATACAGGGTGAGCTAATAAAAAACTGGAACAAAGTCAAACGCCATGTTTTTTACATTTATTTTTAAATTTTTGTGAATGAAAGCAAAAAATGTCGGAAATAGCATCAAATTTTAGAATAAGTTTAGATTTGTTCGAATTGGTCACCTTTGGCACGAATTATAGCCTTCAAACGGCCAATGAAACCGTCACACGCTGCCCGAATGTTGCTCTGCGGTATTTTGTTATTTTTTAGTGCCAACCTTGCTTTCCACAACACTCCAAGGCACAATAGTCCAACGGATTGGTATCCGGAGATTTTGGTGGCCATTGTGCGCTGGAAATGAAGCGAGGAACCCATTTTGTAACCGTTTTTAGATGGCGTGTGCTGAGTGCGATGGTGCCGAGTCCTATTAGAATGTCCAAGGTCTGCGGCTAAAATGTTTGCCTGCCCAAGGCTTTAATACACCCTCCAGAATATTTTCGCGATAATATTCGGCATTAATTCTGATGCCACGGTCGATTAATACGAGCGGAGAGCGACCATGGGCTGTTATGGCGGCCCACGCCATCACCATGGCCGGCGCTTGAGTTCTGGTGGCCAACCGAATGTGCTCATTTTCAGCTGACCTCTTTGGCTAGTAAACAAGATCATTTTAATTGTTTACAAACTGCTGGAGAACGAAGGTTTTTTAATCGGATAAATCCAAATTCGGCAGTTCATCACTTTCGGCGAAGCAACTCTAGATCTTTTAAGTCTATTTTCTTTCTGTTGCGGTGTAAGTTCTTGCACTTTTTGCAATTTCAATGGCTTTACCCGAGCCCATTTTTCAATATTTGCCGAATGGAAAATTGCGATATGTTCAGCTCACGATCCATTTTTTGGCCACTGCGACGCGGATTTCGATCAAGTCTCTTCTTTACTTTTCGAACCATTTCTGCTGATGTTGCTGTTTTCTTCCGTCAGCTCACAGTAACGAGCGATGGTACGAGACACTAAAGATTTATTCACATTTAAATGCTGGAGTGCTGTAACGATAGCCACTTGTGGTTTTCCAGCCCAATATAAAGAAATCACACTATCACGCTTGACTTCCATCAGAAATAACCTTATTTCTGGAAAATTCCCACCAAAATGCTTTTGTACGCTTGTAAACAATATAATGAGCTGTCACTGGAATAATTTAACAGCTGTCGGACGAGTGGCTTTGAAATGACAGCAGTTTGAAATTGTTTGCAGTTTTTTTTTTTTATCTCACCCAGTATATTCTGGATCAGAGTAAATGCTAAATCGATGCAGCGAATCGGGGTATAAGGCTAAAATTTTGCACAAGTGTGTATTTTGTCAGTAGGCAAGTTACCATAATTATTTCAAATTTCGGATTTGAAGATCTTAGTGAGTGCTACAGTCTATGATAAAATGCAGGTCCACATCTTCGTATAGACCCCATATAATAAACTGAGGTTTATTCAGTATTTTGATGATTATTAACTGGAACTGTTTCAGAAAATTGTCTATGCATATAAAGGACTCGATAAAAGGTTTTCATTTAAGCGGTATTTTTTCGGAATTGTTTTACATGTTTCAAAATCCTTCCAAATGGCGGAGGACATTAAATATTCGGCCTACCCGAACTTACCTGCTTTTTTACTTGCTAATAGATTTATCTGGACAACATCTACGAACAAATGCAAACAATTGCTACAAAACCAAATATCGATAAAAAAAAAAGACTCACAAACGTTAATATATTTTGCTCCACTGTCAAATCATTTCCTCCACTTCACAATGACAAATACATGCATTAAAATGCAGAGAATTAACAAGAAAAAAACATATGGCAAAAAGCTTTTATCCCGCCAATTTTTCCAACAAAATTTGTCTTAAACTTATTGCCATACACATTTGTTAACTCAACATCAGGATTGTGAAGTGTGTGCTATACGATTTTTAAGTAAATATCTAAAATGTTATTAATTAGAAGAGAAAACATTAGAAAAATGTAAGTTTTTATTGATCTGTATTATTTATTGTTATACCAATTTGTCTAATTTTTGTGCATATCCGATTTAAATTATTGGATCATAGGAATGTTTAACAAAATATATGATCAGTAAATAATTGTGAGTCATTCAGTGAGACGGGGGATTTTTGTAAATTGATCTTAAGATTCAATGGAATGTAAAACAATTTTACTTTCATGGTAGTTAAAAGTAAAGGCTATTCCAACTTAAATGATTAAGAAAGGTAAATGATTTAACATTTAATTGAATCTTAAGATTAAATGTAAAATAAATTAGTTAAAAAAAGTAAAATATCTTTTTATACCCTCCACCATAGCATGGAGGGAATAATAAGTTTGTCATTCCGTTTGTAACTCTTCGAAATATACATTTTAGACCCCACAAAGTATATATATTCTTGATCAGCATAAAATCATATGTCGATTTAGCGATGTCCGTCCGCCTGTGGAAATCGCTCTAACTTCAGAACGAAATGAAGTAAGTTGATACAAATTTACTCAAATGTGTGTTATATATGCAGGACTTTTGGTATTGAAAATGGACCATGTAGGTCCACGTCTTCGTATAGCCCCCATATAACGGTACCTTCAGATATTCGGTATTTTGATGATTTTAGCGACATTATTTACCGGAATTGTTTCAAATTTGGTATTTGAAGTTCGTAATGTAGTATCAGCCTAGGACAGAAAATGGACCATGTAGGTCCACGTCTTCGTAAAGCCCCCATATAACGGTACCTCCCGATATTCGGTATTTTGATGATTTTAGCGACATTAATTACCGGAATTGTTTCAAATTTCACATTTGAAGTTCGTAATGGATACTACATCCTGTGACAGAAAATTGCTGTGCAGATCAACGTCTCCGCATAGCCCGCATATAATGGTACCCCCCGATAGTCGGTGTTTTGATGATTTTAGCGACATTATTTACCTGGTGATCGACACTTGAAGCGACGAACCTCATTTTGTAGCCATTCTTGGGTGGCGCTTGCTGAGTGCGATGGTCCTGAGTCCTGTTGGAATATCCGAGGTCTGCGCCCAAAATCATAGCGTGCCCAAGGCTTTAATACACTCTGATCGGAGAAAACCCAATTCGGCAGTTCATCACTTTCGGCCAAGCGAAGCAACTCTTTAGCTTTTTTAAGTCTATTTTCTTTCTGTTGTGGTGTAAGTTCTTGCACTTTTTGGAATTTCAATGGCTTCACCCCGAGCTCATTTTTCATTATTTGCCGAATGGAATAATGGGATATGTTCAGCTCACGAGCCATTTTTCGGCCACTGCGACGCGATTTTCGACCAAGTCGCTTCTTTACTTTTCGAACCATTTTTGCCTGATGTTGCTGTTTTCTTCCGTCCACTTCCTTGACGTCGAACTACGCTACCAGTATCACGGTAACGAGCGATGGTACGAGACACAAAAGATTTATTCACATTTAAATGCTGGAGTCCTCTAACGATAGCCACTTGTGGTTTTTCAGACAAATATAAAGAAATCACCCTATCACGCTTGAATTAAATAACGAATAACTTTTTTCTGTAAAATTCTCATCACAATGCATTTGTACGCTTGTAAAGCTGTCATTGGAATAATGTTAACAGCTGTCAGACGAATGGCTTAGAAATGACAGCAGTCTGAAGTTGGTTGCAGTTTTTTCATCTCACTCTGTATATTCTGGATCAGAGAAAAGGCTAAATCGATTCAGCGAATCGGGATATAAAGCTAAAATTTTCCACAAATGTGTATTTTGCCAGTAGGCAAGTTACCGTAATTGTTTCAAATTTCGTATTTGAAGATCTTTGTGAGTGCTACAGCCTATGACAAATGCAGGCCCGCGTCTTCGTATAGCTCCATTCAACGATACCTCAATTTATTCTTTATTTTTATTTATTTATTTCAAATTTGTATTTGAAGTTCTTAATGGATTTATTTCAAATTTGTATTTGAAGTTTTTAATGGATACTATAGCCTGTGGCAGAAAGTTACCAATGCAGGCCGACGTCTCCGTATAGCCCCAATATGAAGGTTTTCACTTTAGCGGTATTTTCGGAATTGTTCTACATGTTTCAAAATCTTTCCAAATGGTGGAGGGCATTAAAAGTGCGGCCTGCCCGAACTTACCTGCTTTTTTACTTGATTTATCTGGACAAAATCTAATAAAAAAATGTAAACAATTGCTACAAAACCAAATACCGATAAAAAAAGACTCACAAACGTTAACATATTTTGCTCCACTGTCAAATCATTTGCCAAAATGCAGAGAAATACATTACCAAAGAATAAAGCATTTGGCAAAAAGCTTTTATCCCGCCAATTTTTCCAACCAAGTTCGTCTGAAACTTATTGCCATACTCATTTGTTAACTCAACATCATGGGATTGTGAAGTGAAATTGAAGTGAATTGAACTGAAATTGAAACTTTTACCGGGGATTTGTTATGCCCCACACCAAGAATATTGTGTCTTTGTGCATTTGTTTGTAACATGGATAAGGAAGCGAGATAGACAAATAGTTACTTTTGAGAATCTTCACAGAATCACTTTCTGAGTCGATTTATACATGTCAGTCCGCCGTCCGTGTGTCCATGTATTCTTATGAACAAAATGTAGGTCACATTTATTATCCGATTGAGAAGAAAATTTCTCAACAATTTTTTTTTTGACCAAGGACGAACCCTATTGAAATTGGATCAGATTTAGATATAGCTCCCATATATACATATATGTTTCATCCGATTTGGGGGTTTAAAGTCCCTTACAAGCGTAATGTGCACTCCACAAAAATGATATTTGGTATCGGACATAAAATACTGCAAGAAAATACCGGTGTCAAATTTTATCGAGATCGGTTCAGATTAGTATATAGGTCTCATATATATCTTTATACGATATCAGGTTTATTGTGCACCAAATGGCCAATATCAGCCCAAATGGACTGAGGTTTGGCAATTACGACTGAATTCATCCTAGAAACCAGTGCTTCAAATTTGGTGTAAATCGGTTAAGATATAGCTATAGCTCCCATATATATGTTTTATCCGATTTGGTGTTTAAGTCCCTCGCATTCTTAATATGCACTCCACAAGAATGATTTTTGTTAGCGGACATCAGATACTGCACGAAAATAACCCTGCCAAATGTTACCGAGATCGGTTCCGATAAGGAGATAGCTCCCATATATATCTTTATCCGATATCGGGTTTATTGTGCACCAAATATATCTCATATATGTGTTTCATCCGATTTGGTGTTTAAGTACGGGACGTACGTTTGCATTTTGTGAAACTCGGCTCCGATATATATTTATTTAATTCTCAAAGTGATATCATACACTCTATAGTGTTACATGAAAGAACTGCAACTAACTTCAAATTTCTGTCATTTCTAAGCCACTCGTCCGACAGCTGTTCAAATTATTCCCGTGACAGCTCGTAATATTGTTTACAAGCGTACAAAAGCATTTTGGTGGGAATTCTCCAGAAAAAAAGTTTTTCGTAATGGAATTCAAGCATGATAGTGAGATTTCTTTATATTTGGCTGGAAACCACAAGTAGCTATCGTCAGAGCACTCCAGCATGTAAATGTGAATAAACCTTTTGTGTCTCGTACCATCGCTCGTTACCGTGATGCTGTTAGCGTAGCCCGATGTCATGGAAGTGGACGGAAGAAAACAGCAACATCAACAGAAATGGTTTGAAAAGTAAAGAAGCGACTTGATCGAAACGCTCGTCGCAGTGGCTTAGGTTCAGCTTATGAGCCATTTTTTGGCCACCGCAATATTCCTTTCGACAAATATTGGAAAATGAGCTCGGGGTAAAGGAATTGAAATTCCAAAAAGTGCAAGAACTTACACCGCAGCTGAAAGAAAATAGTTTCAAAAGAGCTAAAGAGTTGCTTCGCTTGGCCGAAAGTGGTGAACTGCCGAATTTGGGTAACATTCGTTATCCAGCAGTTAGTAAACAAACAAAATGATCGTGTTTACATGCCAAAGAGGTCAGCTGAAAATGTGCACCTTCGGTTGACCACCAGAACTCAAGCGCCGGTCATGGTGATGGTGTGGACCGCCATGGTGTGGACCGGCATCAGAATAAATGCCGAATATTATTGCGAAAATATTCTGGAGGGTAGGGTAAGTGTACCAGTAGTCGGCACTTTTAGGATTTTCGCGTTTTTAATCGCTCACCATTCTGAGTGGAACCTTTCAATTATTACAAAGTTCATTAATTCAGATTCGAAATTTTGTATAGTTTTTGCAATAATAAATAAAGTTTTAATAACTTTTTATTAAATTTCATAAATTTGTAGTTTTATTAAAACAATGCTTTTTTGCCAGTAGTCGGCACCACTTGCCAGTTGTCGGTATGGCATTTTCCAACAGTCGGCAAACAAAATTTTTTGTAAGAATAATAAATAATAATAATAAATTAATTCATTAAAATATAATATTTTTGTTTAGTTAAACTGATTAGACGTCTTTATTGTACTTTTCTTAAGAATATGGATTGTTGAGGACCTTTACAGACAAAAATTTAATTTTTATTAGAATAATTCATCTTTTCTTGGCAAAATTGTGCACAAAGATAGCTGACAATATATTTGAAGTAAACAAAATACATTTAGTTACAATAGTTTCATTTATTTGGGCTTAAAAATGAAAAGTGCCGACTACTGGGACATGCCGAACTTAGGCACACTTACCCTATATTAAAACCTTGGGCAGGCAAGCATTTTGGCCGCAGACCTTGGACATTCTAACAGGACTCAGCAACATCGCAATCAGCACGCACCACCCAAGAATGGTTACAAAATGAGTTTCCTCGCTTCATATCCAGCGCACAATGGCCACCAAATCTCCGGATACTAAAGCGTTGGACTATTGTATATGGAGTATTTTGGAAAGCAAGGTTGACACTAAAAAATACCAAAGTATCGATCAGCTCAAACAAGCGCTTCGCCGGGAATGGACCAAAATACCGCAGAGCAACATTCGGGCAGCGTGTGGCGGTTTCATTGGCCGTTTGAAGGTCATAATTCGTGCCAACGGTGACCAATTCGAACAAATCTAAACTTATTCCAAAATTTGATGCTATTTCCGACATTATTTGCTTTCATTCAATAAAATTAAAAAGAAATAAAAATTATGGCGTTTGACTTTGGTGAGGTTTTATCTCACCCTGAACATATGCAATATTCATGCAAAAATCTAAAACTGGCGAAAGCGAATATGTTTGATTTCAGTAATTTACCAATTTCCCTCGTATATATATTTTTTGTGGGTCTGCTGATATGTTTCCAGTTGACTTCATCTTCGAACCTTATCAAAGAAAATTTCTTGTTATCACTGTCGTCTTCATAGGCAAATGTTGTTGATTTTGTATTTAAGTGTGTATTATGTAGGTACGTACATACCTTTTCTCACTGACCCTAAGAAATATTGAAAAACAAAAATATGAAATAAAATTGATAATCGTTTTGTATGGCAGATTGATACCACCTTGGACTGCTATAGCCAAGTCAAATTGAGAATGCTATAATATTGCAAATTCGAAACATTTTAAATTGAGTTTCGTTCGTACAGTGTTAGACATTGGTTGGTTGGTTTCGGTTAAAATTATTAAGACGTTTATTAAATAAATAATATTAATTTTTTTTTCAAATTGATATATTTTTCATAAATAGGGACTTTGAGCCAAAACCTGTTGAAAATATGTCGCAGGCCAAATTAATATCCGGTACCCAAGTGGCCAAGTGAGTGTTTGTTGGAGAATAATGTGGAATTTTGGTGAAAGTTTATTTGCATTTTTATCAATAATTCTAGTGAAATTCGCGAATCTTTGAAACAAAAAGTCGCGGATATCAAAAAAGATTTGCCCGACTTTAATCCCGGTCTGTGCATTGTCCAAGTTGGTGGTCGTGAAGATTCCAATGTCTATATTCGCATGAAAATCAAGGCTGCCAAAGAAATTGGCATTGAAGCCCAACATTTACAATTGCCCAGAACTACCACCGAAATCGAACTACTTGACAAGGTAAGCAATAAACAATTATGCAATGCAAATTCAGTTAATAGATGGCATGAAGCTTTATGTTTCTATGTGTGTGAGTAAATTAGTTTATTAAATCTTAGCAACAGTTCTAATTTGTATAAAACTGCAAGCGGATTATGGATGACAAAGTAAATTAATGACTATTTTTATATTAATTAGTATTTTTTGCTTGAACTTGACCCTACGACAATAATATAGAGGTTATATTTTCTGATCTGCGGAAAATTTATGGAATTGACGATGTTAAATTTAGAAGTATTAAAAACAAATATTTTATATTAGACATTTTATTAACATTTTCTCACCGAATAGATGCAATTTTTATAAAAATATCCCCAAGAAATTGGAACACATAATTTTCACATTAATTTCGGCGGGGCCGAACTTTTAATACCCTCCGCCAACAAACATTTGTATATAAAAGTATTTGAATTCAAACGTGTTCCACTTCAAACTACAAATACCAGTAAGATGATGCTGTTAAACTTTTCAAAAAAACATTAAGTGGGTTAGGCCGTTATGTAGGAGGAACGGGAACCTCAATAGACATATATATCTTCTTAAATACCAAATTTGAAACAATTTTATGGGTAAATGTGACTAGATTATTAAAATACCAAATATCGTAGTATCGTTATATATACATTATAGGAGTTAGAACCCATTATGAACTACAAACACCAATTTTTAGACAAATCCCAGGAAAATGTGCAAAAGTCATTAAAATACCGAATATCGGGAGGTACCGTTATATGGAGGATATACAAAAACGTTGAACTATATATAATGTTTCGCCACGGAAGCTAGAACTCATTATGACCTACAAACTCCAATTTTTAGACAAATCCGTGAAAAATGTGGGCGGATCACCGAAATACCGAATATCAGGAGGTACCGTTATATGGCGGCTATACCAAAACCTCCTGTTGGAATGTCAAAGGTCTGCGGCCAAAATGTTTGCGTGCCCAAGGCTTTAATACACCCTCCAAAATATTTTCGCGACAATATTCGGCATTTATTCTGATGCCAGGGTCGACTAATACGAGCGGAGAGCGACCATTGGCTGTTATGGCGGCCCACACCATCACAATGGCCGGCGCTTGAGTTCTGGTGGCCAACCGAAGGTGCACATTTTCAGCTGTTTACAAACTGCTGGAAAACGAATGTTTCCTCATTGGAGAAAACCAAATTCGGCAGTTCACCACTTTCGGCCACTTACTTCTTTTAAGTCTATTTTCTTTCAATTGCGGTGTAAGTTCTTGCACTTTTTGGACCTATATATCTCATTTTCAATACCAACCTTCCTAGACTCAATACAAATTATTCTGCCAAATTTTGAAGCTCTACGTGAAATAATCGTGTATCGTTAATTTAACAGACAGACGGACATCGTTAGATCGACTTAGAATTTTATGCTGACTATGAATATATATACTTTATGGGGCCTATGGCGAATAGTTGGAGATGTTACAAACGGAATGAGAAGGTTAATATACCCTCCTTTTCAAGGTGAATGGTATAACAAAATGTAGAGCTTTTTACCCTCCACCATACTTTGGAGAGTATATGAATTTTGTCATTCAGCTTGAAACTTCTCGAAATACTCATATTAGACCAAAAAAGTATATATACAGGGTGAGGTGAAAAAACTGCAACCAACTTGAGACTGGTGCAATTCCAAGCCACTCGTCCGACAGCTGTTCAAATTATTCCAGTGACTGGCCATTATATTTTTTACAAGCGTACAAAAGCATTTTGGTGAGAATTTTCCAGAAAAAAAAGTTATTCGTGATGGAATTCAAGCGTGATAGTGTAATTTCTTTATATTTGGCTGTAAAACCAAAAGTGGTTATCGTTAGAGCACTCCAGCATTTACATGTGAATAAATCTTTTGTGTCTCCAACCATCGCTCGTTACCGTGATACTGGTAGCGTAGCCCGACGTCAAGGAAGTGGACGGAAGAAAACAGCAACATCAGCAGAAATGGTTCGAAAAGTAAAGAAGCGACTTGACCGAAACCCGCGTCGCAGTGGCCGAAAAATGGCTCGTGAGCTGAACACATCGCATTATTCAATTCGGCAAATATTGAAAAATGAGCTCGGGGTTAAAGCAATTGAAATTCCAAAAAGTGCAAGAACTTATACCACAACGGAAAGAAAATAGACTTAAAAGAACTAAAGAGTTGCTTCGCTTGGCCGAAAGTGGTGAACTGCCGAATTTGGTTTTCTCCGATGAGAAAACATTCGTTATCCAGCAGTTTGTAAACAAACAAAATGATCGTGTTTACTTGCCAAAGAGGTCAACTGAAAATGTGCACCTTCGGTTGGCCACCAGACCTCAAACGCCGGCCATGGTGATGGTGTGGGCGGCCATAACAGTCGATGGTCGCTCTCCGCTCGTATTAATCGACCGTGGCATCAGAATATTGTCGCGAAAATATTCTGGATAGTGTATTAATGCCTTGGGCACGCAAACATTTTGGCCGCAGACCTTGGAAATTCCAACAGGACTCAGCACGCGCCACCCAAGAATGGTTACAAAATGAGGTTCCTCGTTTCATTTCATTTTGGCCACCAAAATCTCCGGATACCAATCCGTTGGACTATTACGTCTGGAGTATTTTGGAAAGCAAGGTTGGCACTAAGAAATACCAAAGTGTCGATCACCTCAGCAAGCGCTTCGCCGGGAATGGGACAAAACACCGCACAGCAACATTCGGGCAGCGTGTGACGGTTTCATTCGACGTTTGATTCGTGCCAAAGGTGACCAATTCGAACAAATCTAAACTTATTCTAAAATCTGATGCTATTTCCAACATTTCTTGCTTTGATTAAATTAAATTTAAAAAAATGTAAAAATTATGGCGGCCCGACTTTGTTGCATTTTTTTATCTCACCCTGATATATCTCAAACTATTGGCTTTTCTTTGTATATAAACAAGACTATATAAGGACTTCAAAATGTTTGTCCTACGAATCCGAAACTCCCTTGGAGCTTTGATCTACAGAGGAGTACTATAAAGGCCATAACCCAGACAGGATATTGTACTGTAAAATTATAAGAACATTTGCAGCGAATTAGGAAAAAGTGCTTATTTTTTTCCAGAAACAAATCTGAGTTTTTATAAACCAAAGTTGATGCTATTCATCACTCACAATAAAATTAGATCTAGAATAAATCTTCTTTCGTCGATTTTCCCAAAAAAATGAAGTATAAAGGGATATTTTGATTTGGATTGGAAACTTCTTAAACTAACAGTAAGGAGACACATAATTTTCACTTGTAGTACACAATTTTTTTCTTATAAACAATTCCTGTATTACTTATACATATAGTAGAATCTTTTGAAACTATCTGCCTCAAACGATATTTTATGCTACATTCCGAGGTGCCAATAATTAAAATCACTCCCATGATTTTATTATTGGCGCCCAATCGAACGTATGCATTTATAATCTTATTATTATATATTAAATATATTTATATAGTCGTAAGGGTCCTAATAAAAATGCATATTTTAACTCAATAATTCCATGCCTTCCCCATGTAGATCAACTCACTTAACAATGATCCGAATATTCATGGCATTATTGTACAAATGCCACTTGATTGTGACACCAAGATCGATTCTCACAAAATCACCGATGCTGTACATCCGGACAAAGACGTCGATGGTTTGCATACCATGAACGAGGGACGTGTATCAATTGGTGACTTGAGTGGTTTCATGCCTTGCACCCCATGGGGTTGTATTGAGCTGATCAAAAGATCTGGTATCCAGATGGCTGGTGCTAATGCCGTTGTATTGGGTCGCAGTAAAATTGTTGGTACCCCAGCTGCTGAGCTCTTGAAATGGCATAACGCCACAGTGACTGTGTGTCATTCTAAACTAAAAATATTGAAGCAATTGTAAGTAGTAATGGAAAAAAGAGAGTGTGGGAGGGAGATAAAGAGAAAGAGAGAGAAAATAATAATTAAATGGCAACATATTTTGTTTTAGTGTCGCACAGCTGATATTTGGTTGTTGGCATTGGTGTAGCCGAAATGGTCAAAGGTTCCTGGATCAAACCCGGTGCCGTCGTCATCGATTGCGGTATTAATGTGAAGCCTGGTAAGAAGCAAAAACCCTAAACTATAAAAATACTGTTTACATCTCACGACTTCTGAAAAAGAGAGGGAAAACACTGGCATCATTAACACAGCAGCTAATGTTATCAATAACCGATAGTATGTTGCCTAGTGTGTTGAACCCTCCGATAAGGAAGGTCAAATTTAGTTAATGTTTTTTTTTTCGATTTAAAA